TTTTTATTGGTTTTTCACCAGTTAGCGGTAATATTTAGGTATGTTATGACTGATTTAGCAATGCTTTTTAGGCTGAAATTTTACGTAATATGGGATAGATGGAGTTACATAACAATTTGCATTTCTCTGGTGAGTGCACAGTTTGTATATGATCTAATCTTCTCGATCAAACAGGAATAACAATCAGATACTTAGTTCTCTTTTCATTTCCCCTTCTGAAACATGCCAAATTTAATGTGAGTGTTTAATGTGAGCTCGGGAGTCATATGTTCTGCTTGTGAAATGCCATCTGGCCACTCAGTGCCCTCTGAGCCCCTAAAGGCAGAGGGGTTGGGTCCGGTGACATAATAGGATGCCCAGTGGTCAAACACTAATTGGCTGCAAAATACTGGCACATGCACTCAGGCACACGCAACCAACCCTGTGTCTAAAATCCTGGATGACATAACGATGATGCGGTACACAGTCAAATCGATAATTTATTCAATAGGCATGTTCCTAAAGATAGTAAATAATTCCTATGGTGAAAGTAATAAGCTCAATTTTTTTTTACAGAATGAATTTCAATGGTAATTATGGTTGATACTGCATTATTTGATGAGTTTCTGACTGGATTAAAAGTCCACAGTGATTGCTAAATGTGTTTGAAATAATATTAAAGAGGACACTGTATGAAAAATTTACATTTTTATATGCTTTAGACTAGAGAATGTATTTATGTGTTTAACCCTTTAAAGCCTGATCCAAGAATAAAACAAAACAGAAAATTACTTTATTTTTATTGAAGCTTTTAATTGGCCTTTTAACAAAATATGTAAAAAGAAAAAAATAGAAATACATTTTTGATACTAATAATTTATTACTATGCGATAAGTCAAGATTATTTTTCGTGTAGTCTTCTGCCCCCTGTTATCAGCTATATCTGATTGTGTACAATAGGATTTTGAGCAAAGTTTTTATTATTAAATTATGCAAAAGGTGTCAGACGCAAAACATTTCAGAAACCGTATGTATCAAATATGATACATTTGGCAATATAGGATAAAGATGCAACCAACCCATAGAAAAACAAGTCATTCTATGATCTCTAGATTTTCATGCTGTAGCTTTATTATTCCATAAAAAATATTAGATTTCCTCCCTCTGTACTTATTCCAGACCCCCCCATGGTTCACCTCAGAAGTGGAAATTTCATAAACCTGCCGACAACATGTTTTACCATAAAAACTAATCATCTGTTATGTTATTTATGTCTAAATAACCGGGCAACGGTTGGGCGATAAAACACTCCTTTAATTCGGTCCCAGTGGTGAGCCTCACATGTTTCCACTCAGTCCACTGAGCCGCCACTTACGTGTCACTGAGCCAGAAAGGTAAGTAGAAACAGATGCAAAAATGGCCATCGGGTGTAAGGGCAAGCCAACTCTGATAGATTGTGGTGTGCATGATTTGGAGAAAATGTGTTTTTATGTAAGGTCTGTACATGTGCCTCAACGTACGCTTTGGGTAGTTTCCTTTTTTTTATAGTCTTTTTGGTCATACGCCAATGAGTGTGTGTCCAGGTGAGAGTTACAGATTTCCTCCGGGCCTGTGTGCTGCTTTCGGCTTTTAAAACATCCATGTTAAGTTTAAACACAGAGAGGTGCTGGTTGGGATATTTTCTGAGGTTTGATAATTCCAGTCTGACTCAGCAAAACGCTGCAAACTCATAATGGCTCATCATTCTATACCTAGGCCCTCCAGCATGATATTGTATCAGAATTTTTTGAGTGGAAATTCACTTCAGACATAGAAATATCTACACTGTAAAAATGCACATTTGTTACATCTTAAGGCCTTACCCTAACCTTAACTTATGAGCCTAACTGTACTGTAGAGAGCAGTTTTTCACACTTTTACAGGAGGTCCTCTGGTGTTCAGTAGTTCCGAAAGGGATATTCAACGCTTAAACTCATTTGGTCGGAGCCCAATTGAGCTCATAAACCGTTTTGGAAAATCCTATCAGGCAGAAAGGAATCTTGCCAGAAATATTTTTATACAGCCTTTTCACTGTCTACTGTTTAGAAGGAAGAAAATTATTTATATGTTTTTATATATAGATACGTGTCTGTTGAATGAGCTTGAATTACAGAAAAGTTAAGTGCTCTGCGCCACCATAATGTCTTAAAAAAGAATGTGTGTTGAATCCATACAAAAAATACTGCAGTGACAGGACCCACAAAGTCACATTTCTTAAAAAAACACAGATGTTGCATTGAATAATTGATTGCCTTCTTTCTACTTTGGTCATTTGTCTTAGTTCCCTCTGTCTCTCTTCTACTCTCTTCGCTGTTATTTTATTTTTTTTTTTTACCCGTCCAGGCTCTCCATCTGAAGTATTATATTCATAAATGCACTCATTCCCCTAATCCACTTAGCTGCAGTCTGCTCTGACCGTGGCGGCATACGGTCATGGCTATTTTGGAGGCGTTTTGGGCCACGAGGACAGCTGGATCTGTTTGATGCTAAGCACCCCGGACGGTCGACTAAACTCAGTGAAACCCTTGTGTCAATCAAAACTGTCCTCTGTTGCGGTTGTCAGCACAGATGAACAGAAATTAAATGTCTCAGAGTTGAAAGTGAGGTATAAAATTTGACTAAAACAATATGTTGATCATGCTCTGTGATTTCCAAAGCTCATACATACATATAACTGATAAAACTTGAAATGGCAAACAACAGTTATCATTGTTAGACA